GCCTGGGTGGTCAGTCAGTTGAGTGACTGACTCTTGGTTTCAGCTCAGGTTGTGATCTCAGGGTCATGAGATCAAGCCCTTTGTCAGGCTACGCGCCTAGCCTGGAGTCTGCTTGGGACCCTCTCTCCCTGCCTCCGCCCTGCTCTCTCTCTCTCTCAAATAAATAAATAAATCTTAAAAAAAAGAAAAGAAAAGAAAAGAATAAAGGAGAGAAGGAGGAAGAGTAGGCCAGGAAAGCCTTCAGATTGCCATGTAGGTCTGACACCTATGAAAGAAGGAAAGCGAAGGAAGGAAGATTGTGTGGAAGTGCCTCAGACTGCAGCGCAGCTTGAAGAAAGTCCCAGCCAGGATGATGAGAAACTTCAAGTCAATGACTGACCACTAGAGGTGTCCCAGCACGGGCAGGGATGGCTCAGCTTTAGCGCGCTGCTGGGCTCAATCACCAGCAGACTGAGGAGATCATGGGCTTCCCTGTGTGAATGAGGCAGTAATTCCACAGGGGTGGTGCCTGGAGCTGTCAGCTGACTGCTCTCATAGGAGGTTCTCTACTGAAGGGAGCCCTAAGCAGTGAACCCACATGGCTTTCACCACAGTCTATACAAGCTGCATCAAACAGACTGACTCCTCCATCCATTTCAGGATGCAGTTCTTCCATGGTTCTCCAGGACCTCTCTGCTGAGGGGAAATTTAAGTGGTTAGTGAGACAAATCACAGTCCCTGCTGTGGCAGTTGGTCTTGAGGCCAGAACTGGTATTTATCTTCTCTCTCAACTCCACTATCCACCCTCAAGTCTCCACAGCCTATGCCATCTTCTCTGCAGGTGCTGATGGCTTGCCTACCTGGTGGTGCTTCATTTTTAAGGGGGCCCCAGCCCTTGGAATCCCACCCTTTTCAGACTGGGGCTTCTGAGTATGTTCATTCACAATTATAATGGGGAAAAATAATCCCCAGAGGTACCAAGTGGATCACCTGGTTGTGCACATTCCTCCCTGCCTAACCCCTTGTGTAATAGCAGCCTTTACTCCTCCTGCTGCTCAGGGTCATTGATCCCAGCCAGAATGATGGTGACTCTTCTTGCTGTTGGCCCCTGGACACAGGAGTCTAAAGTGTGTACATGGCATTCACAGATTATAGTTAAATGATACTGTTGTCATGTCCCCCTAGCAAGAGTGCACTCCCGGGTGCCTGGGTGGCTCAGTTGGTTAAGCGTCTGCCTTCAGCTCAGGTCATGATCCCAGGGTCCTGGGATCGAGTCCCGCATCGGGCTCCCTGGTCTGCGGGGAGTCTGCTTCTCCCTCTCCCACTCCCCCTGCTTGTGTTCCCTCTCTCGCTGTGTCTCTCTCTGTCAAATAAATAAATAAAATCTTTAAAAAAAAAAAAAAAAAAAAAAGAGTGCACTCCCTTTGGGGACCTGAACCTCTAACCCCATAGATTCCAAAGTTATGAAAATGGGAAACACAAAGTTCCCCAAAGGATCACTGGGAGTGATGTTAAATAGGTCCACTTTTGCTTCCACCACTTTGTTCTTAGACTCATGCATTCCTCCTATAAGTGATATAATATCAGAGAGAGGTCTTTGATTCAGTATATACACTGCACCCTGAAGGGTGGCACCTCATCCCTGCAGAATATTGCCTATAAGCTGGTGCTTTAGCTGTGCCTTGACTATGAGTTTAGCTAATTCTAAATATTGCAGTATGTAATATAATCAGTGCATTCTATAGCCAAGGGGTAATTTCTGTACCTCCTTCACTGCAAAGTGAGTTCCCTGATCAAGTGCTATGTTGTGTGGGATTTTATGTCTATGCATCAGGCATCCTGTAAAGGTTCCAGATAGTGGTGCTAACAGGCTCTGTAATCAGTAAAGGCAAATCTATACTCAGAATAGTTATTTATTCCTATGCAGACAAACTGGATGGAGCGGGCCTACTATAGTCAACTTGCCAAATGGCTGGTTGGACTCTTCTAGGAATAGTGCCATATTGGAGGCTGTCTCTGTTGTTGGTATATTGAACATTTAGAAGCAGCAGGAACTAGATTAGCTTTGGTAAGTGGGAGCCCATGCTGTTGGATACATGCATAGCTTCTGTCTCTGTTACTTCTCATTTGTCTATCATGTCAGTTCTGGGATGGTTGATGGCAAAGACTGCCTGACATCAACTGGCCAGATCCATTTTGCCTACTTGGGTTTTTTTAGTGCCTCTTCAATGGTGAATACTTTTGAGTGGACATTAATCTGTAACACAAAATCTTCATACTTCATGCCTGCTCTCATATATCCATCTACATGCTTCTGCTTCTGACCTCTTGGCCTTCAGTGTTCCAGTCCTTTCCCTTTCAGGGTCGTTGCACAGGAAAGTGTATATATTCACATCTCAGGCAGTCACCTCTCCTTCCACACAAAGTAAATAACTTGAAATCCTTGAAGCTCTACCCACTGGGAAGTTTCTGAGCCACTGTCCATTTTTGTCTTGTACCCACATACTGAACCGACTGATTCATAAACCAAGCTTGAGCTTTTTCCTCCCCCTGGTTGGGACCCTACAGAGAATGAGGGCAGCTGGTACATGCTTGGTGGATGACACAAGATCTGGGATACCTACTCATGCAGTTTACTTACACCCTCTGATCCTTCTCAGGCTCAATCCCAGATGTACCACTACTCTTGGGCCTATCCAATTGTATGACTTGATGGATCCAAAAGAACCCAGCTTAGAATAGGCCGTTCTAAACGCAGGCTCACGGGCGCCTTGGTGGCTCAGATGGTTAAGCTTCTGCGTTTGGCTCAGGTCACGATCCCAGGATTCTGGGAGCGAGTCCTGCATTGGGCTCCCTGTTCAGCGGGGAGCCTGCTTCTCCCTCTGCCTCTCTCTATCTCTTATGAATAAATAAATAAAATCTTTAAAAATAAATAAATAAATGCATGCGTACTTAGTGCCCCATGGCCAACTGCTCTATCTCCACCAGGTCCTGGTAACACACCAGGAGCTGTTTCTCCAAAGATGTATAACTCTCAGCTGTGGATGACAGGGCCTTGCTCTAGAAGCCCCAGGGCCTATGTTGTTATTCTCCCACTGGGGCTTCCTATACATCCTGCACTGTATCTTTTCCTACCTCCAATACTATAGGCTCTGGCAGGTGGTATGGCAAAGTAACAGCGTTGCTCCCACCACAACCTGCACTTGCTATAGAGTCATTTCTAGCTCTGGGTCTCTCCCATAAATAAAGCCTTCCATAAATCCTAGTGTTTGGGCTACAATAACATTCCTAGGTATGGACTATGTTGCCTCTAGTACATAAAGAGACCCACCAGGCATTGTGTTTCCTTTTTTATAGTAGGAGATGCAAGATACAGCACTCCATGTTTTACTTTGGAGAGGTTTTCCCAAATTACCCCTGACTACTGAATCCTTCTAAACTTTACTTAAGTGGCAGATTTGTGAATCTTCGTAGAGTTTGTCTCCTGTCCTCTGGTGTGAATGTCTCCCCGCCAAGGCTTCCAGCATCCTAGCCGTATCTTGCTCATTCTGCCTGATCAGCACAGTGTCACTGATGCAATGAATCACAGTATTGTTCTCTGGGATGTTCAGATGGTCCCGATCTATATATGAACTATATATAACAAAGGGTAGGAGAGTTAACATATCTCTGGGGAAAAACTGTAAATAAATGTTGTCCCTTCCATGTGAATGCTGTTTCTGACCCTTTTATCTAATTGGAATGGAAAACAACTCATTTGCCAAATCAACCACTCATACCAAGTACAAGGAAGATGTGCCTGGCCTATCCCTCCGTGATAGATTTCACTCCACAGGCTAAGGGCCCAATATGGGATTAATCCTATTGCCAAGTGTGTCAATCTCAATTATGTGCTCAGAGAGATGGATCTGCAGACTTAGGGAATCTGTTCTAAGTCAAACTTTAGCCAGAACTCCATTTATTTATCTGGTCCCCACATCCCTATATCTAACTGTAGGCAAAGGGGCATGACAATGCTTCAGGGCTCCAAATGTCAGTATCAACTGAGAACCTCTATCTGATAATCCTTGAAATGTCTGAGTATTCTTTCTCCAGTATACAATCACCCAAGAAAATAGCCATAGACTCCTTTGAAAATGGCCGAGGATCCTTCCAGTATTACTTGCCATGGTGTTCCAGGGACCCTACTCCTGAGAACTTGGTCCCCTCTTCAGACAGTTGGGCTCCTGACTGACAACTGGCTCAGATCCCAGGAACTGAGCAACAGTTGGTAATGTTTTATTGGTTTGACCAGTATTAACTTCCTTTTCCTTTATTCTTGCCTTATTCTTTTTTTTTTTTTAAGATTTTATTTATTTATTTGAGAGAGAGAGAATGAGAGAGAGCACATGAGAGGGGGGAGGGCCAGAGGGAGAAGCAGACTCCCTGCCGAGCAGGGAGTCCGATGCGGGACTCGATCCAGGGACTCCAGGATCATGACCTGAGCCAAAGGCAGTCGCTTAACCAACTGAGCCACCCAGGCGCCCTTGCCTTATTCTGATTATAGATGTTAAGCAGCACCCTTCAGGTTATGGACAATATCTAGAATGTGAAAAAGGCTAAGGAATATTTTAAATGCTGTCATTAAATGTCAAAGATGACTCATTTAAAAACCAATCTTAATAGTCCAAAATATTTAAAGCCACGAACTTCCACTTCTAGGTACAAACCAAGCAGAAACTTTTACATATGTTCTCCCAAAGGTATGTATTAAAATATTCATAGTTCATAGCACTAAAAACTCTAAATTTAAAATGCCCAAATACTCTTCAAGAGTATGTTGAATACATAAATGATGAGGCACTATGTAGCAATAGAATGTAGAATAAACAAACTATAACTACGAACATCATATGATCTAACCTCTGAAATCACCACCCAGAGTCACTTCACCACATTCTGTTGGCAGAAAGGTCACAAAAGTCCACCCAGGTTTAAAGGAAGGGATCTAGATGCCACCTCTTTTTTTTTTTTTTTTTTAGTAGGCTCCCAGCATGGAAACCCAAAACAGGCTTGAACTCACAACCCTGAGATCAAAACCTGAGCTGAAGTCAAGAGTTGGACACTTAACCGATCAAGCCACCCAGGCACTCCAGCCAACTCTTGATCAGAAAGGAGCAAGGTCACATGGTAAGGTGATCAGGTGGGATGAGAAATATTGGTACAGCCATCTTTGGAAAATATTACCTGCCACAGTAAGTTTCTTTCAATAATGTTGAATAGATGCTGGCTGAGTGAATACAAGGTATCTTTGTTATCTGAATATTAATTCTCAGGAGCTCCACTGAAACACTGTAATATAGGAAAGCAAAAGTCACCATAATAAAAATATTCACTAATATACACTCAGGCATCTCTCTCCGTTCAACACTGCGAGTATCTCTGATTATTGGAAGTAGTATTTATTCACCTATACAATGCAAAATGAAAAGGTAAATCTTGAAAAAATAAAGATTTCATTAAGTCAATTATTTTTAGAGTATACAGTAGTCCCCCTTACTTACAGAGAATATATTCCAAGACTCCCAGTGGATGCCTGAAACCACAGATATTACTAAATCCTATATATACTATATCTTTCCTCTATATACATACCTATGATAAATTTAATTTATAAATTAGGCACAGTAAGAGATTACCAACAACACTATTAATAAAATAGAACAATTATAACAATACACTATAATAAAAGTTAAGTAAATATGGTCTCTCTCTCAAAATATATTATTGTACTGTACTCACCCTTATATGATGATGATAAAATACCTAGTGATGAGATGAAGTGAGGTGAATGATGTAGGTATAGTGATGTAGCAATAGACTTCTATTAACCTTCTGATAATACATCAGAAGAAGGATCATTTGCTCCTGGACTGCAGTTGACCATGGGTAAGTGAAACCCCAGAAAGCAACACAGTGGATAAGGAGGGACTACTGAATTTGGAATCTTGTGTAACTGGTAGACCAGTTAACAACTGGAAAAAAAAAAAATCATCGAGCATATGTTAGTGGAATTATCTGAAAATCCAAAGATTAAGAAAGGCACTAGGGAAAGATTTTGAAACCCTTTGATTATTTCTACATGTTAAAGTGAAGGGTATTCTGTGTGTTGTTATCTTTTGTTGGAAAAATTATGTGCCCTCAAAAAAAAAAAAAAAGCAATACTTGACCCAGTTTTTGTACATTTCAAGGACTAGCCCTTAGTTTCTATAATAACCTAAATTTGGTTACCTTTAAAATAAAATTATTTTTATAATTTTTAGTTCTAATAATCAGATATAGTCCAAGTCGAACTTCTTCCTGTGAAGTTTTGATCCCTTTTTGAGTGGATTGACTTCAGTGGCCTTTTTTTCCATTACTGAGAAACAGCCCTCTTATAATCTGCATAAGCTTTCATCCTTCTCTGGGAAGTTAAGTATGAGCAATATCAATTAAAATTACTTCAGTGATAGTATTTTTAGAGCTTTCTTAGAAAGCCTATTATATTAAGTGAAATGAAACCTGAGATCTTACAAGAGTATTAGTTTTGCCTTAGATATGAGAGCAAGATGCATCTGTAGTTATCTGCCAGATACTCTTTCATCAAACATTTATGGAGCACCTGCTTTTTGCAAGGCAGTATGCTAACGTACTGTGGGAATTATAAAGATGAACTGACTCTGTGATGAAAACATTAGCTTATGTATTTTTATTCAAGGTCACTGTGAAGTTTACACCACTGTGTCTACCATGGCCCCCTTCACCTTCACCACCACCACTACCCCTACCACCATCATCACATCATCACCTCTACACCATCATCACCACCACCATCAGCCCTACCACCATCATCACCACCATCACCCCTACCACTGTCATCACCATCATCACTTCTACCACCATCATCACCATCATCACCTCTACCACCATCACCACCCCTACCACCGTCATCACCACCATCACCCCTACCACCATCATCACCACCATCACCCCTACCACCGTCATCACCACCATCACCTCTACCACCATCATCACCACCACCATCACCCCTACCACTGTCATCACCATCATCACTTCTACCACCATCATCACCATCATCACCTCTACCACCATCATTACCACCACCATCACCCCTACCACCATCATCACCACCATCACCTCTACCACTGTCATCACCATCATCACTTCTACCACCATCATCACCATCATCACCTCTACCACCATCACCACCATCACCTCTACCACCACCATCACCCCTACCACCGTCATCAACATCATCACCTCTACCACCACCAGCAGCAGCCACACAGATCTAACAGTATAAAACACATTTATTATGAAAACTGGAATTAAATAAAGAACTTTATTTGGATAACAGCATCTCTCATTCATTTAATTCGGTTGTATTTCTCTTGGCATATATTGCACATTCCCAAATGATACATACCAATATACTGAAGTTTTCAGAGCATTTTTGCAGCATTTTGACATGCTAAGAGGAAATTTTTAAGTGTGAAGGACCCATAGAAATTACTTATTCCAATTCCCTCATTTCTTAGATCAGGAAAAAGAAGCTCAGAGAGGTGAAGTGACTTATGAGTCACTGTGAGTAGACAAGGACAGATCAAAATAAGAACTCAGTCCTCATAATTTACTCACTGTCCTACTGACTCCTGGAGTAGGAGGACAAAGGAAAGACTATCAGTTCTGCCTGAGGACAAAGTTATCACACCTCTTAGGCGGACAGAAACTCTCTGAAGAAAAGGAGAAAGTGCAAATCCTCTCCCAGGAAACATTTGTTAGCTCAATTTGTGTGGCTGGTTATGTAAATGAAGAGGCCTTGCAAGGGGATGGGGTCAACAGTTTCCTGGGGGTTCAGCTTGGTAATGGTGTATGGCCTGGAAAGAAAATGATACTTTGCACTTGCATAATACTTTTCATCCCTCCAACAATAACAAATGCAACTTTGTAGTTTCAGCCAAATACTGCAAAGTACTTCACAAATGTTTAACTCAGGAATCCTCAGAACAACCAAGAAAGGAAGACTTCTGAAAGGAAGGAAGAAAACAGCTCTCATCCTCATGATTCAGTGAGGAATCTAAGGTCAGAAGAAATGTAGTCTACCCCTAGCTGAGTGACACCACTGGCAGGACTCTTGACATGCAAAGACATTCCTCTGTTTGCACACTTTCTAAAGTGACCTGGACACGGGATTTCAGAAAGGGCAGAGGTGGACCAAAAAAGCCCCTGCTTGTTCTTCCAGCCCCGTGAATCTATGAAGCTTTCACAAGAGGTTTGGTTTTGAGTCTTTAAAGGTTCTTGGAATTCTCTTCAAAGATTTTTGGCATGTCTCCTAAGGGAATTTTTTAAAACCATGAATCCCTTCACAAAATTTTTAGTTGACATCTAAAATATTTCATATGTTTAAATAATTGCAAAGGCTATAATTTCCAGCACATTATTAATATACATATTTTAAAATAAACTATAGCTATATTCTTTTTAAAATATCCAGTTGCATCTAAAACCCAAGCAATTTAATGCCCACCATCATCCATATATATATATAAATATATATAAACAAGTTTTTTTTTTTTAAAGATTTTTTAAATTATTTATTTATTTGAGACAGAGAGAATGAGCGACAGAGAGCATGAGAGGGAGGAGGGTCAGAGGGAGAAGCAGACTCCCTGCCGAGCAGGGAGCCCGATGCGGGACTCGATCCCGGGACTCCAGGATCATGACCTGAGCCGAAGGCAGTCGCTTAACCAACTGAGCCACCCAGGCGCCCTATAAACAAGTTTTTTAACAGTCAGAAATTTTATATCATTCCCTTTTCTCCTTAAGTTCATATTCTTGTACCACTTCTCCTATGTACTTTTATCTATATTATTGTGCCCAAAGGTCTTATTCATTATCATACTTTTCTGCAATAAAAATCTTTGTAAATTAATTTTTAAAATTTTCTGTATTTTTGCTAGGCTGAGCTACAGTAACGAGTTGGCCCAACCATGTAATGGCTCAACACAAGGTCTATTTCTTTCTCACATAATAGTCTTGGTGAGATGCTCTAATAAACAAGGTGCTCTCCTCCACACGGTGATTAAGAGACCCAATCTCCTTCTATTACATGGCTCTGCCATTCCCCTGAACAACGATCTAGCTTGTCAGCCTACTTTTATGTGCCCTGGGAGCTTTACATTTTTAAAGGGCTATTTAAAAAAAAAAAAAAAAAAAAAAGGCAGAATATGAGACAGAGGACTTACCTGGCTTTGTAAAGTCTAAAATAGTTATTGTCTGGCCCTTTACCAAAGTTTGCCAACCCCTTTCCTAGAGCCTCATGAAGAAGCAAGGAGTGCATAGAAGAGATTTTACAGGGAGAGTCCTGGAAGTGACCTGCATCACTCTCACGCACTTTGTGTTAACAGAAGAATTACATGGCCACACCCTACAACAAGGAAAATGGGAAAATGTAGGCTAGCTGTGCAACCAAAGAAGGGGAGAACAAATTTTAGGAAGCAACTAGTAGAATCTACCACTGTCAGGCTCTAAAGTATCAAAAAGAATGTTATGATGACCAGTTGTGTAAAATTTATCAAAATAACCCACATATATGATGGATTAAGATAAATATTAAACAAGGGTGACTGGGTGGCTCAGTCAGTTAGGTGTCCAACTCTTGATCTCCGCTCAGGTCTTGATCTCAGGGTCATGAGTTCAAGCCCTGCACTGGGCTCCGTGCTGGGTGTGGAGCCTACTTAAAAAAAAAAAAAAAAAAAAAGATAAACATTAAACATAAAAACGAAAATTTTATTAAAGGTGCAGTTCTTTGTTTTTAAAGATTTATTTATTTATTTTAGAAAGATTGGAGAGAGCATGCACAAAAGTGGGAGGAGGGCCAGAGGGAGAGCGAGAAAAATCCTCGAGCAGACTCCACACTGAGCAGGAGCCTGACTCCAGGCTCGGGCCCAAGACCCCAAGATTATGACCTGAGCCAAAATCAAGAGTCAGATGCTCAACCGACTGAGCTACCCAGGTGCCCCAAAGGTGCAGTTCTTTTATTTATTTATTTATTTATTTATTTAAAGATTTTATTTATTTATTTGACAGAGAGAGACACAGTGAGAGAGGGAACACAAGCAAGGGGAGTGGGAGAAGGAGAAGCAGGCTTCCTGCTGAGCAAGGAACCCGATGCAGGGCTCGATCCCAGGACCCTGGGACCATGACCTGAGCTGAAGGCAGACGCTTAACGACTGAGCCACCCAGGCACCCCCAAAGGTGCGGTTCTTAATAAGATGGATGAGAGGTCTCTTGCAGCAACGCGAGTGGGAGCACCAGGCGCCGGCTCGGAGCGGAGCTCCACGGATCGCTTTAAGAAATGGCAGACAAGCCGGACATGGGGGAAATCGCCAGCTTCGATAAGGCCAAGCTGAAGAAGACGGAGACGCAGGAGAAGAACACCCTGCCGACCAAAGAGACCATTGAGCAGGAGAAGCGGAGTGAAATTTCCTAAGAACCTAAAGGATTCCCCACCCCCGTCATCTTCGAGACACACCAGTCGTGATGTGGAGGAAGAAGAGCCACCTGCAAGATGGACACGAGCGACAAGCTGCACTGTGAACCCGGGCACTCCGTGCCGACGCCACCGGCCTGCGGGTCTCTGAGGGGAACCCCCCAATCGGACTGCCAAATTCTCCGGTTTGCCCTGGGATATTATAGCAAATTATTTGTATGTTTAATGAAAATAAAACACACCTCGTGGCAAAAAAAAAAAAAAAAAAGATGGATGAGACTGTTTTCTTTTCAATTAGCTCGTTTCCCAAGTTAGAGCATCAGTTTTATTTCTACTTTTCATTTTTATAAATGTTACTGCCAAGAAAGTTCCATAAAAATAAGAAAATGGGAATGGAAGAAGCTTTATTTAAAGGCAGTCTTAACTAAATTATATGAACTTATTCAAATCATCAGCTAACAACTCAACTAAGGACTCCTTTAATTTTATGGAAAGTTTTTTATTAGAAACAACTTGACTTGGGGTGTCTGGGTGGCTCAGTTGGTTAAGCGTCTGCCTTCGGCTCAGGTCATGATCTCAGGGTCCTGGGATCGAGCCTCAAGTTGGGCTCCCTGTTCAACAGGAGTCTGTTTCTCCCTCTCCCTCTTCCCCTCCATCCAGCTCATGCTCCCTCTCCCTCTCTCTCTCAAATAAATAAATAAAATCTTAAAAAAAGAAAGAAACAACTTGACTTGCAAAATGATTTGGTACCCAGTTATAAAAGCCATTCATGGGGCGCCTGGGTGGCTCAGTCGTTAAGCATCTGCCATCAGCTCGGGTCATGATCCCAGGGTCCTGGGATCGAGCCCCACATCAAGCTCCCTGCTCAGCGGGGAGCCTGCTTCTCCCTCTCCCACTCCCCCTGATTGTGTTCCCTCTCTCACCGCGTCTCTGTCAAATAAATAAATAAAATCTTAAAAAAAAAAAAAAAAAAGCCATTCTCATCTGCAATTTACAGGGGGTTTGTTAAAAATTTCTACTGGGGCGCCTGGGTGGCTCAGTTGGTTAAGCGACTGCCTTCGGCTCAGGTCATGATCCTGGAGTCCCGGGATAGAGTCCCGGGATCGAGTCCCGCATCGGGCTCCCTGCTCGGCGGGGAGTCTGCTTCTCCCTCCGACCCTCCCCCTCTCATGCTCTCTCTCTCTCTCTCTCTCTCACATAAATAAATAAAATCTTTAAAATAAATAAATAAAAATAAATAAAAATTTCTACTAAGATTTATCAAACAACTACCTCTGTTCTCTTTCAATTAAATGTGCCTTGTTGGGGCACCTGGGTGGCTCAGGCAGTTAAGCTTCTGACTTTGGCTCGGGTCATGATCTCAGAGTCCCGGGATCAAGGCCCACCTGCACTCCCCAGCAAGCCCCACATCTGGCTCCCCACTTAGCAGGGAGTCTGCTTGTGCTTGTCTCTCTCCCTGTGACCCTTGCCCTGCTTGTACTCTCTCTCTCTCTCTCAAATTTATAATAGAATAAAAATCTTTCAAAAAAAAAGGTGTCTTGTTTACTCTGTAAATAAAAATTTTGATTTTAATATACCTTTGCCAATACATTTTTTAAATGCTTTTATTTTAACATTTTAAATATTTTTGTCAGAAGCTTAGGGCTGCTGATTTAGCTCATTCAACTTACAGGAAATACTTCCCATACAGACTAATTGGAAAAGGCATTCCTCATTGTCAAACCAATCAGCTAAATCAGATTTATATTCTATTGGAAAAGTCTGAATTCATTTATCAATTCAAATAAGTAAGCTAAAATGCAATTTGAGGAATAGTATGAAACCACTGAAAAATTATGGAACACATCTTATAAGATAAATTATTAAAAGCCATATATCAGGATGTACAGCTAATGTAATTAATGTATCCACTTTAAAAATGTATACAGCAATTTAAAAATACTCTTTCTTGAGGCACCTGCGTGGCTCAGTCCGTTAAGCATCTGCCATCGGCTCAGGTCATGATCCCAGGGTCCAGAGAGCCATGATCATCAGGCTCTCTGGCTCAGTGGGGAATCTGCTTCTCCTTCTCTTTCTGCCACCCAGGTGCATGAAAATATAATATTTTAAAAGAATAAATGAAAACTAACTACCACTGGAAAAATATTCCATGATGTCATTTCATATACATAAGTTTTAATTACTCTATTCAATGATGCCCATATAATATCAAGAAAGCACATAAAATTTTTATCTATAAGTCATCTCGTATAGTAGAGTAGTGTTCTCAGAAAACATTTCAATTAAATTTTTAAAAACTGCATATCACCCCCCAAGTTGCACAGGTTTAGAGAGCATCATTCACAATGTATTCTAGTAAAGGTGAACAACACTCAGGATGTGTATGAGAATCCAACGTGTGCCCCATTTTGTTGTCACTCAGCCCTGCATGAGCATCAGGAACCTGCACAGATTCTAATTATGCATAGATGATTCTTTCCAACTCATGGTACCTCCTAGGGCTGGATTTTGAGAATAACTGAAAACAAATAGAAGACACCATTTTCAACCCTTGAAGTATTCTTTACTTTGCTATCATGGGTCTCTCTCAAGAGTTATGCATTCTTTGAAAATAATCAGGGAACAAGAGATACTGAATCACTCCACCTCTACCTTCTTACAACACACCTAAACTCAGAGCCTCCCAACACAGGCCCAAATACCCCACATCTAAAGCCACACCTCACCCTTAATGGAAAGATCTGGTGATTTTGCTTAATCATTAAAGGAGGCTTTCCCAAAATCAATACTTCAAATCATCCTTTTGTCTCCCTTTCCCCCCATTCCCCAGAGGTTCTCAAGACCCTGGAGGTAATGTCCCAAGGTAAGATCCAAGACGGGTAAGGAGAAGGAAGGTTTTTTTGAAATGCACAGTGAAAATGAATTTGTATTACCTCATGGCTAGTTTTCATAAAGAACAAGTTGAAAATCTGGAAAATGATTCTCTTAGAAAAATAAATCCATGTGCATACACCCCCTTGGAAAGTTGCTTAACTCAGTTTGATGATTGCTCTTTTAGGGAGATTTCTATAGATTGTGCCTTTGGTTAGACAAAAATAAATGTTTAGGTGAGACCACACACATCTGTTTTCTAGTCCATTTAAAGCCAATAGTCCTGGTGCCTGCCTTTGACATTCCAATCTCCCTGGGCCGTCCAACTCTTATGTTCTGTGTTTTGAAATTTTTATGGTAAAAGGCACCTGCCTGGCTCAGTGGGTAGAACATGTGACTCTTGATCTTGGGGTCATGAGTTCAAGCCCCATGTTGGGGGTACATCCTATTTAAAACACTAATTAATTAATTAAAGACCTCTTTCCATTAAAAAAAGATATTAAAACATTCTATGGTAAGATTGAAAAATGTTTCTCTGAAGGTCAGAGAGAACTGATGACATTTTTTGATGAAAGGGTTATGTGGCAAAGCAGTGTTTTTGGAAGATGAATCTGACAATATTGTGTAAGTGGGCTGGGAGGGAAAGAATGTTGGGAGACCAGTTAGGAAGCCATTATATTTGTCCCTGATGGAGGTCACAAGGGCTTGGACTAAGATGGTAGGAAGAAACTAGAATGACATATCTTCCTTCTTTTGATTTCTTCTTCCTTTCTTGTTAGTAGAACTTTTATTTGTGTATCCACATCTCAACAGAAGATGACTCTATCCCTGGCTCAGGGGTATATCCTGATTGGTTGAAGCCAATCATGAGACTCCTATACTCCTTGCTATTGATTGTTTTAGTAATAAGTATATGACCCAGTTTCAGTCAATGAGATGTGAGAAGTCTGCTAAGGGACTTCTAGGACAGATTTCATCATTCTTACTAGACATACATGAGATGGTGTCCTCTCTTTATCTGCACATCGGGGTGTCTGGTTTTGATGCCTAGATCTCTGGCAACCATCTTACAACCAGAGGGCCTGAAGATCAAGAACATTCGAGGTCCTCGATCATTTAATTCAGCCACCAAGCCTCCCAATTTTTGAGCTTGTATTATTAGAAGAATAAAGGCACTGACGAGAGAAATAAGGAAGGTCAGGGCTAAGGAAGGATCTGGAGGAAGACAATGAAACTCTGTATTATAAATGTTGAACATGAAGAGAGGCAGTGTTTCAAGGTGGAAATGGCCACCACCTAATTAGATGCATGAAAATAGAGCTTAGGGGTGATATCAGAGCCCCAAATGTCAATGTGGATTTCTTTGCAGAAACTGGTATCTGCAAAGGAAAGACGTAAGGAGGAGCATTGTCCCTGTCCTAATGTCCCACACCTAAATCCCTGAGGGGAATCTAACATCGGAGGAAAAATAATAAATTACCATCTGCTTAAAGAAAAAGGAGAGAGAGCCCTGCCAACCTATGCTTACGATAAAGATCTATTCATATTCCAGAACAGGAATCTTCTTTCTCCATAGGGAAAGGAAAGAAACAAAAAAATTTTCAGCACTGCTTCTTCATCAGCAAAATTTAATGGGAATGTTTCTAGACAGTTTAAGGATTTTAGCACCTCTGGTTTTAAAGGGGAGTCCCAATCCTCTACCATCCCCTCAGCAATATGAAAATTCAGTCTCATTCTTATTGAGTCAGAGCATAGTCTTTAATTAGATTCTTTGTGTTTTTCACAGAAAAGAGAAACAAGAAAAAAAAATCCATTAGAGTAGATGCCCTATTTGATGAGAATAGCCCCAGCTTTAGTATGTCAGGTTTTGTATAGGATGCTTTTACATATGTATTGTTTCCAGTCCTCTCAGCAACTCTACCAGGGAGATATTGTTAGTCAGATATACAGATGAGGAAAATACAGAATTAGACAGATTAACTTGTCCAAGGCCACAGTTAGCTGGAATTCTCAATCAAGCCAGCCTGCTGCCAAGGCATATACCCATTTTGCCACGCACCACTTTTTTAAGGCAGAGAGTATAGAGCAGAAAGGCAATGGGCCTTGGAGTGTGCACACTTTTTAATGGAAGAAATATGCTAAAAAGTCAAAGAAGGAACAACCTAAAAGAGTGTTAAACCCTGAAGTCTATTACCACTATCCAGTCTCCAAAGTCACCTGGATGACTTTA